TAATCAGATTTTTGTACTTACTTCCTTTAAGGTTTTTTTGTTATAATTATTAGCAATTTGTAAGATATAATTCTTGAAAAAATGGCATATAACTGCAGTAAAACATTAATCTGAAAGTAAAAATTATACATTACTTTTGTTGGAGGTCAAGACTATTTGACACAAAGTTTTATATACGAAATGATTCAAAAACCAGTGAGCGAAGCAGTATAGTGGCACGGGGCCGAGCATACGACACCCTACACAGCTACCACAGAACTCTATCGTTTTGCGAATTTTTATTCCAAGCCTGGGTATTATTTCGTATTATTTTTCCGATATTATTTCTATTTATTTCTTTTCCGAATAGAGGTCAACAGCACCTCTTCCTCACACTGACATATTTTCCGAATATTACCAATATTCAGCACAGCCCTTCCAATTACTGGTCCATATTCCCTTCACCGTGGGCTGTGTTGTGATCGTTTTGCTATTTTCTATCGTTTTGCGAATTTTTATTCCAAGCCTGGGTATTATTTTGTGATAGTTGTACCCTCTTTTCCGATTGGAGGTTACCTCTTCCTTAAACGGACATATTTTCCGAATATTACCAATATTCAGCACAGCCCTTCTAATTACTGGTCCATATTCCCTTCACCGTAGGCTGTGTTGTGATGTTCAGCTTATAATTGTAACCTATAGATCGAATCGAAAAAAAACACAAAAAAATAAGTTTTCGGTCCACTTCATCTCAAAATTATTATCTGATCATCAGCGAAAATTATAGGCGTGGTCCTTGAACCTCATGGAACATTTCAAAGCGATTCGCGCCATATTTCCGCCCTCTAGTGTGGTAATGGTTTATTAAGGGGACCCCCCCCCATTCACGGGGTCAAATTTTTTTTTTAATTTAATTCGAATCTACACTAATTCAAGAATGCCCCTACAAAATTTCATATGAAAATCTCAAAAACTCTTGCAGATATAGCCGATTTATTGTGTCAGCATCAAGTGACGGCTGAAGGGGTTCTGAAACTTTAAACGCGTTTTTCTCTAAAAATTTTTTTGCGAATGGCGGGCACGGTAACTCAAAATTTAATAATCCAATCGGTTCCAAATTTTTACACGTTTCTCTGTGAGTGTATAGCTATCGTATGAACTAGGATAAAGCCAATCGGTGAAGAACTTCCTTTTTTTTAACTTGGTTTTTGGTAAAAAATAGGCGATTTTCCAAAAAAAAAATTTCAAAGTTCCGCCATTTTGTTATTTGTTGTGCGAAGTCAATAATCCTAATCCAAAAATAATGACCTTTCTTTGATCACAAAAAACAACAACAAACAATTTTTGTAAATTATTTTTCTTCCTTTTTAAATCTTCAAATATATATGTACAAAGTTACAAACCTTAGCAAGCATTGGTATTCATTTACTAGCCCATTTAAAATTTTAAAAATAAAAAATCGAGAATGGGGGGGGGGGGGTTCCCTTAAATAATATCTCAATACGTAAGTACCTTTAAATATTTACGTATAACTCCCACATCCGAGTACATACGACAATGTAATTGGTAGCAATTTAAGTTATCGGATCTATATCCTACAGGAGTAAATATATACGCTGTAGAATATAAATTTTGTAATTTTTCACAAAAAAGTCAGGATCCATTTGGCCCGCTAAATATTGACCGATCTTTATCAAAACAGACATGCTTATTATTTGGTCCAATCCCCTTCGCCATGTAAAAATTCGAGATGTTTGGGCCAAAATTGCTGCCTCTGGAGCGACCAGAAAAACCGACAAAAATAAGTATTTGGTCAATTTCAACCCCTAAATATTAACCGATCTTTACCAAAAACAATTGGGCCAATCCCTTCCTACATGCAAAATTTGGTGAAGATTGGTCCATAACTGTGTCCTATATCGTGTTTACAAATTATAATGGACAGACGGTCGGAACACATGTCTAGATCGATTCAGCAAGTCGAGATATGACGATCGGTATACTTATATACTTAAGATAGGTCTGGGACCAATATTTCCCGTCGTTACAAACTCCTGGGGCTGCACAAAACTATAATACCCTGACAACATAGTTGTGTAGGATATAATTATCTAAAATATTCTAAAATGTCTATGAGTTATCCGTATAATGGCAGATTTTTCTACAAAAATGCGAACAATGTTTTTTTTTAATTCTCTGCCATAAAATTTTTTGTTATCTGGTTTTCGATTGACACACTAATCACTTTTCATTAAAGTTGGCCAAGGAACTAGATAATCTATATAGTTTCATAGTTCATTTTAGTTCAGTCTGCTCAAAGATATATATGTTCTTGCTCTGCTCTAGTGGATTAAAGGAAACGACACTTGTGCTATGGATGGGGGCTTTTTTGAGAGTAAACTATGTACAACTTACACACTAGACAATCGCTATCCGATTAACTGACAAAAGAAGTAAACATACTCGTACCATTTTTAAAACGTAACTAGTTCCAATAGTGTTCCGACTCCTATGATGTCATAACAACAGAGGAAAAGCAATCTATTGAAATTTTGTGACGTATCAATTGGTGTTTCTTTATACCACGATGCAATAATAAGGTGATGTATGAAAACAAAAACCTTTGTTTTTGTCTCGACCATCTGTCAAATATTTCCTTATAATATATCAAAAAGTTGGCAGCATTGCACATCGAATTCAAGTACGAATTACGCACCACGATGCAATAATAAGGTGATGTATCAAAACAAAAACCTTTGTTTTTGTCTCGATTATCTGTCAAATTTTTCCATATAATATTTCAAATGGTTGGCAAAACTGCACATCGAATTCAATTAGAAAATACCCACTTTTACAGTTAATGAAGACATCAGCTGCGCTAAATGGACTACCTATTCATTGTGCCATGTTACGCAAGATGTAAATCAAGATATCACCTGCGCTAAATGGAATACCTATTCATTGTGCCATGCTTTATACTTTTATGTCTTTGACAAGCCTTTGTGTAGGTCACACTAAGCAAACACATCACAATTAGTCTACGAATGTATGTTGTGTGTTGGAAGGCCGTAACGTAATGAAAGAGCCAAACCTATTACCGATCATTCCGTTTGCGAAATAAACTAGTTCGTTCGTGATTATTTCTTTCAAGTTACAAAATCACCAAAATGAATGAGATCAGAAAAAGGAACTAAAGAACTGAAGCTGGTTCTTATCGTTCCCTTATCAGAATAGTTTCAATGAACTGGTTTGTTTCGAAACCACCCAACTCTAGCATCCTCGAAAATTTGTCCTGCTTTATATTGTCTTTAATAGGTTTTATAAGACTTATCCCAATAGTAATATCTGGGACGTTCCTATATTTGCCTTCGGTCCGAATAACTGTATTTTATATCAAATACAATTTTAACATTAGGCTCAATAATTTAAAACATATATATTATATGTTATTCTTTTACGCAAATAAAAGTGAATAAATTGGGTTGCTTTACAGAGATTTTACGAATTCTTAGATTAAACGATTTCTCAAACTTCCCGATCAGAGATATATGATTATCAACTTTTTTTAGATCATTTTAGCTTCATAAATGCATTAATAAAAATTGCATTTTTTATTTCGGTTCTTCTAGAAGTCTTGTTCTATCTTCATCAGTTCAGAGATCGAACGAACTAGGTCATTTTTTTAATTGTGAACCTGGTCGTTCACTTCGTTCAGTTGTTGTCACCCAGTTCAATTGGTATGGCAGCACATTGCAATTAAACTGACAGTTGCACCAACCGTAAACAATGATGACTTTTCACAATCATTCGAAGAACATGCCTATCTATTTTCTCCACTTTGTTTGCACTGCAGTTGTTGCTACGGACCCCCATACCAATTCCGAGGTTTTAAACTTCACACCTTAAACCGGTTGTCTTTGGGGGTAAATTTGAGACATAAGGAAGCCTGGCTTTGAGATGTAGCTTCAAATTATTTACAGACCCTCCAGATAGGCTTAAAACACTTTGCATTTGGCATTTTAAGCACCGCATTTAATGAAATGGGACAATTTTATGAGTATGTTGTTGAGGTTCCATCGATTATGTCATCGATAAGTCCATTTATTAGTACCTCAACGATTACTTATCGTCATCAGGGAAAAACGATCGCTAAGGAAGAAGAAGCAGAAAGCCAAATAACGTTGCCGCAAAAAACATAAAGAATTGTTTTTTTTTTAAATAAATAAAGCATAATTCAGACCGCCAACGTCTAAATATTTAAATAAGTGTTTATTTTTACTAACCACCACCAGTTCCCAATTAGCAACACATAAGTATCGCCTGAATACATCTTGTGTTGTCTAATATTCATTATTATTGTTGTTCGTCTTTGTGCAACAAAACTTTCGGCTCTAAAATTACTCTGTATATTTAGAACCCTACAAGTTCAGACGCCTGTATCGGAACTTGTACACTTGTTAATAAAAAAGCCATCGATTATATATTAAACGTTTACCCCAGTGTAGCTTTCCCTTTATTTCTCAATTCCATACCAGCGTTTTCAGGTCCAATCGATGTTCCTGTTGTCACATTAAAAGGCGAAACTGACATTCTCGACTTCTTTAAAACATTTCGATTCGCCTTTCTAGCCTCGACCGTGTCTTTCGAGAAGCCAAAAGCCTTTTCGATTAGTTCACTTTACAAAAATATATATTATTTTTTATTATTTTTAATTTTAATTTTGTAGCATTGTGTAGTTAAAAATTCAATTATTCTCTTTGTGTTGAATTCTGTCTGTGTGTGTTTTGTTTGTATTTCAAAAAACTAAAAAACAATTGAAATAATCTTCCACATCTTAAATGAGATGCCATCAAAGAAAACCAAATGAAAAAAGTTATATATAAACACTCTCTTTTTCTCTCTCTCTCTACAAAAAATCAGTTATTTTTCCAATAAATAAAATCAATATAAATTAAAGTTAATAGCAACAACAAAAAGTAAAGCAAAAACAAAAAAGCAACATCCCCCCTCAAAACAAAAGCAAAAACAAAAACATCATAAAACCAAACCAAGCACCCACAAAACCAAAAACCAATTTCAAATCGACCATTTCAGATGTACGGTAATTATCCACCTGCGGGCAGCCCACCATTACCAGATATTATAGGACAATATTACACAGGTGGTTACGGCAGCGGCGTGGCGGGTGCTGCCGCCAACTTGCCTTGCTATGATATGTATGGTCCTTCGACGTCAACGGGTTATCTATATGATCCAACGCTTGCAGCGGCGGCCGGCATTGGCGCCTATGGCGGTTATGGTCAGACCTCACCGATACGTCGGAGACGTTATAGCATTGCTGGCCTGCCATCGGCCTCAATGATGAACGATTACTATGGCTATCAGCAGCCTTTGGGCCCCGCCCCCATACACCAGTCTTCCTCCTCGAACATACTGAATTTGCTCAACGAAGCTCACAAGTCAATTTCACGCTCGTCCCAGATACTAACGCAACAGGCCCGCCTACAGCAGGCCCAACAAGCTGCCGCCCAAACGGTAACGCCCCTGTCGCATTATCCGGGTCGTGTGGTATCTAGCTATCCTACCTTGCATCCGGGTGATACCTCGCCGCCCTATCTGAACGATAATCTAATGCAAATGTCCGCGAGTTTCTCGTCGCAACCGAACATGTACTTCCAACAGTATGGCCAGGCCCAGCCGCCACCTCCGCCTGCGCCCTCGCAAATGCAAACGGCGGTCGGTGCATCGCGTCTCAGACCCGCCTATTCCGTGTCGAACCTCAACTATCTAAATTATCCGTTAGGCGGCGGCACTAAGCAATATCCGCTGAGCAGCAGTAATTATATGACCACAGCTGGTAGCCAGTATGGTGGCATTGGCGGCGGCGGTGGCCACAACCTGTACACCAACCCCTCCGACTTGTCGCCCTACAACTTACAGAGCCTGCTGCAGCAGCGCAATCTAATGTCCTCCTTGCACGCTTCCAATCCCGCCATTTCACAGCTCTATCAACAGCAGCAGCAACAAGCCGCCGTTGCAGCCGCCCAGCAGCAACAGTCCTCAGCCTATCAGCAGATGTTGGCCCAGAATATCCAACAGCAATTTGCCGGTACGCATCACTATGCCCATCAACAGCACCAGCTGCCCGTCAGTGCACATCCATCGGCCGCTCACATCCATGCTTCGGTGCAGCAGCAACTGAATCCGGATCATCAGTTCCACATACATCAGCAACAGAATCACTTGCAAACGCATCCGCTGGCGGCGTTGGCCAGCACCACGGCACCATTCCCGGCCACACTGACCAGCAGTGCGCTGCACGATGTGCGCAGTACAATGGGTGGTGGGGCTGCGACAGGATTGACCGGCTCGGCGGCCTATCACGACGCCATGTTGTATCCACCCACGCACCATCACACCCATCTGCACCATCCGAGCACGTTAGGTCAAGCGCAGCAACACCACCATCACCACCAGCCACATCATTCATATTCGACAACACCACATCACTCACACCATCAGCATCATCTGTCACCATATTCGAAACTAGATTTAGATTATCCAAAACTGCCACAAGAGCATAAACGCCAAGTAAGTTTTAAATTTGACGTAGATACGCTATCTTTAGATTCTTAAGAGAATGCAATGCAAAAAGAAACGTAAAAATTAAAGAAAAATGAGAAGAAAAAATGCTTCAAATGAAAAAATTCCGAATTAAATGCTAAACTAAATTTGAAAACACAAATGGCTTAAAAATTGCAAAATCGATTGAAAGCAAAAACATTTTTTATAGCTTAAATACTGTCCACATTCAAAAAGAACAACAAAACAATATATACAACAACCATACCAAAAAAAAACACATACCAAGAGAGTGCAAAAGAGAGAAACCGTAACGATAGAAAAAGAAGAAGAAGTATTTATCACAAGGATTTCAGAAAAGAGAAGAGTCGTAGAAAATTGTCTCTCCTAATAATTACAAATGCATTACAGAGAGGGGTAAGAAGAGATCACTTCATTCATTCAGAGCGGCATGAAGCAGTGAGAAACAAAATATGCGGCAGGGATGGGAAGTCTGCATTAAATAAAGTTCTCCGAAATTGTTTCAATTAGAAAAAAATGTGAACTGAGGTTCAGTGAATGCTTTCCATAGAAAAAAACTTCGAACAGAGGTTCGGTGAATTTTTTTTTATAGAAAAAAAAAACTTCAAACTGAAGTTCGGTGGATTTTTTCGGTGAATTTTTTTTTATAGAAAAAAACTTCGAACTTAGGTTCGGTGAATTCTTTTCTATAGAAAAAAAAAACTTCGAACTTAGGTTCGGTGAATTCTTTTCTATAGAAGAAAAAAACTTCGAACTGAAGTTCGGTGAATTTTTTCCTTAGAAAAAAACTTCGAACTGAGGTTCGGTGAATTTTTTTCTATAGAAAAAAACTTTGAACTGATGTTCGGCGAATTTTTTTCTATAGAAAAAACTTTGAACTAAGGTTCGGCGAATTTTTTTCTATAGAAAAAACTTTGAATTGAGGTTCGGTGAATTTTTTTCTACAGAAAAAACCTTCGAACTGAGGTTCGGTGAATTTTTTTTCTATAGAAAAAACTTTTTTTCTATAGAAAAAAACTTCGAACTGAGGTTCGGTGAATTTTTTTTCTACAGAAAAAAAACTTCGAACTGGGGTTCGGTGAATTTTTTTCTATAGGAAAAAATTTGAACTGAGGTTCGGTGAATTTTTTTCTATAGCAAACCAAACTTCGGTAAATTTTTTTCTATAAAAAAAAAAACTTAGAACTAAGGTTCAGTGTTTTTTTATAGAAAAAAACTTCGAACTGAGGTTCGGTGAATTTTTTTCGATGGAAAAAACTTTGAACTGAGTTTTTATAGAAAAATATTGGGACAGATGTTCTTTAATTTTTTTCTGTAGAAACAAATGTGGTAATGGGTTCTGGTCTATTTTTTTAAGAAAAAATGTCAAGAACTTTCTCGAAAGCTGTTGCTAGTGAAAAAATTTTTTTTTTTTCCAACTTTTTAGGTTCCATGATTTTTAGGAGAATTTTTTAAATAGTGACTTTCCATCTCTGTCGTTAAATGGTGCAATGCCATCTCTGCATAACCAATTTTTTATCACTACGCCCATCTCCCTCTCAATACCAAAAAACTTCGAAAAGATTCTGAACTCACAAGGAGAGAGCAAGCAATTTTTTTCTATAGAAAAAAAACTCATCGTCTAAGAGTAAAATTTACTTTTCTCAATAAAACTTTCTTTATGTTTAAAATTCAAAACTTGAATATAGAAAAATTTCTAACAATGAATTGATTTGTTGTAGAATAAATAAATATATTAATTATTATAATTATTAATTTTTGTTATATAGTATGTATACTGACTCTTCTTTAATTTTTTTCTATTTTTATTAAAAAATCTCTGACAAAAACTAATAATTCTGTGTTCTTTTTTTTATTAAATCAAATGCATTTAAACGAAAAAAAAAAACCATACCAAGGTTCCTGATTTTTTTCAAAGAAAAAACTTTGAACTGAGGTAATCGATTTTTTTTAGAAAACCTTTGAAAACTCGATTTTTTAAAATAAAAAATGTCAAACAACTTTTGCTAGTGAAGAACAGATTTTTCCGACTTTTTAGGTTTCATGATTTTTAGGAGAATTTTTTAAATCCTGACTTTCCATCTCTGTCTTTAAATGTTGCAATGCTATCTCTCCGAGCATAACCAATTTTTTGATCACTGCGCCTATCTCCCTCTCAATACCACAACGAAAAGATTCTAACTCACAAGAAAAAGAGAGAGCAAGCAATTTATTTTCTACGAATATCATCATCGATCGACTCATCGTCTAAGAGTAAAATTTACTCTTTACTCAATAAAACTTCTTTATGTTTAAATATTCCTACTCAAAAAAATTAATACTCACATTAATACCAAAGGAATTTCTAACAATGAATTGATTTGTTGTAGCATAAATAAATATATTAATTATTATAATTATTAATTTTTGTTACATACTATACTATATAATACTCTTTTTATTATTTATTTTCTATTTTTATTAAATATTACATTATATATTCTCTCTTATAGACAAAATGACTAATAATTCTGTGTTCTTTTTCTTAATCATTAAACCAAATGCATTTAAACGAAAACAAAGCCATACCAAGGATTCCTGATTTAAAAGAAAAAAGCTACTACATACCACAATCCTCCCTCACTCACAAAATAAATAATCGATATTTATTCAGCCACACCCCAGCCCCCTCCAAACACCGCCCCACTTTACGAAATAATACAAATGCAACCAACAAAAGTGAGAGCTAAACTAAATGAAGACCGAAAAAATAAGCATTTCTTTATTATTAAAAAAAATAAATAAAACAAAAAACTAAAACACAGAAAAATATGCCAAACGAAAACGAAATGAGTACATTTTTGTTAGGGAAATTTATACAAACAAACCAAATATTTAACCAAAAACAATATTAACAATAAATAAAATAAAATAATTACTTGATATGCCACTTTCGTCGCCATGATTGCATTTTATTTTTTACCAATAAACTGCTATTTAAGATCAACCAAAACAAAAAGAAGTGAAACAAACTCGTCGTAATATTTGAAATATTTTTGCAAATATTCCAATTAGTGCCTAAAACAAACAACAACAACAACAAATACTTTATTTCTTGCCAATACAACTATTTATTGTGTATCTAAAAATAATAAAAAAAAACAAAACAAAACAAAAAACTTAGAACAAAGCAGCCTGCCAGCCAGTCAGCCTATTCTAGATAACAGCGAAAGAATCGTTCTTTTAAGTCGTAACAATAGGAAATATTTGCATCGGAAAAAATGGAAAATTAACCGAATTCATAACCATGAAAATAATCAAAACGTATCATTTAGATAGAGCGAGAGTGTTGCCACCATGCTTGCCAAATTGTCATTTAAATGGGAAGTTACAATTCACAGTGTTGTATTTTGAAAAAAATATATATTTGAACATCTTGAAAAAAAGTATATCAAAATGGCTACTTAACAATGAATGAATTAATAAATAATTAGTAATATTTTATAATTAGTTATACGATTATAACCAGTATTTTTTAAATAGTAAATCTAGTAAAAGGGAAACATTTCAAAATTGCTCTCAGAGGACAAAATAATTTGAAAAGTTCGGGAACGCAAATCTAGTAAATATGCCAAAAATAGATGGCAATACTTCCAAATCAACATAACAGCCAATCAGAAGTAGGCATTCCTGTTTACCATTTTTACTCGGCCAAATTTCTCGAGTAAAAAGTTTACAAAGAGAACGCCATTTTGTTTTGTGCTCTCTTAAATTTGATTCAATGTTTTACCAGTTTTGTGGGTTGAGGAACGGTTTTCGAATAAAAAGTTGCAAAACATGTAAAATGAGTAGATGCTTTTAGGTTCTGGAACGGAACTAATATGTATATCGAAATCTTATGCTAAATCGAGACAATTTCAAATACAACCCTGGTTTTACACCAACAAATAATAACCTCTTAACCTCTCCTTAAAGTATGCTACAAAATACGTTACAATTCCAATATTTCACCAAATTTCTAATCGAAATTATGCAAATATTGATTGAAAAATTGCCACATAAATGATGAAACTAGTGAACTAGAAACTAGTGTGTATGTTTAAATAAATAACAGCTGACAAATGAACTTTCAATACTAGTCTCAACAGGTGGGATTAGGTACCTAGATTAACTAATCGAAAAGACTTAGAAGCCTTAGTCTAAACGCGCCTTTGCCATACAAAATTAAATCAACTCAATATCTAGATTTTTAAGCATACTTTCAGGATAAACGATTATTTTTTTATGCAAAACAAGGGTTGTATTTGAAATTATATTGATTTAACATGTGATTTCGAACATGCTAAATCAAAATAATTTCAAATACAACCCTTGTTGTGCATAAAAAATTAGTTAAAATAAATAAAATATGTTGACATCGTTATGCAAACTCAAATAATAGTCCATCAAATCTAAATTCAATATGATTTACTTACATATGAATCTCGAAGATTAAAAACTCGCCAAGACCAAATTAATGCGATAGATTCCAGGTCCGAACAGGTCTCATTACTAGCAGCATGATAGAGGCAGTTGCAATCGATTACGCAACAAAAAAACTGTTGTAGAGATTTGATGTGCCGAAAATACTTTCCTTCATAATTATGTTAAAAAAAATAACTTTACAGCTGATTCTGCACAAGGCAGATAGGGTAGCCGCACCAGCCCAGCTGTTAATAAATTAAAAAATGTATAATGAAAATATTCGAATTCCGGAGTTTGGGGAGGGTGATCAAATTGCTTAGGAGTGTGATAAAGCAGCCATTTCTTAACTATTTTTGAAGTATGCTTTGGATCATTGTCTTGTTGATAGATCCAACCTCGATCCGATTTTCAAGCCATTTCGTTGGTTTTGGACGTTAAGGGTTTTCTTCTTGGAACCCTTCCATCAATCCCGTTAGCGTGTGGTGCTCTACGTATTGTACTGGCACTAACAGTAGTTCCAGACGATTCTAAAATTTCTTTGGATATTTTTACGGCACTTTCTACTGAGCTTTTCTTTACATTTCGTACAATCGATCGTATTTGAACCTCATTCAGTTTTTTGGCCTGCCCCATTTA